TTTAGATATTTGGATATTTATTTATCAAATTTGAATTTATAAAAACATAGATATTGATTTAATTTTTAGTATTGGATTTTATGAATTTTTAAAAATCGTATAATTTTTAATTAATTTATTTTTGTATGGGAGACCCAATATGCATATAGACCCACTATTGCAATGTGGGTGGATGACGCCCATGAATGCCACCTAGGTGGCATGCCCCACTCTAAGGAGCTTTCCAATTTTGTTTGATCAAGCTTTGGCTTGAAGAAAAATGTTTGTGATATTTTGGAAAGTCTTTGCTTTGAAGAAGCTTTGAATGGATTTTTAGAGAGCATGAGAAGGCTTGTGCATAAATAAATTATTTTATTTAATTTCTATTGCTGAGAAAATGGTTTAGGAATGAGGGATAAAGATTCTACCACATTGTATAATATTGATGACCCATCTATGGAATGGATGGCTCAAATCTCTCGCTCTACAAGTCACCCAAGATCAATGGTTTATATTCAATATCACAAGAAGAGACAAGTTAAGGAATACCTTAAAAAACCCTAATTTTGTTCAAGCACTATAAAAAATGTATTGATCCCTACTCAAATTTCTACACACTTAAATCTCCCCTCTTTCTCTAAATGTCTCTCTTTAGTTGGTAAGTTATAGGGGCATGCCCCAACCTGGGAGTTCTCTCTCTCACACACATCCCACAAAGGGCACGACACTTATAATATCTCTCTATTTCTTAAGAAAGTTTATCTCTCTCCTTTAAGAGACCCCAAGGGGCATGCCACACCCTCTTATATTTGATATCTCTCTTATAGTGGTTCTCTCAACTCTTTCATGATATTTCATCTTTCTTTGGGGTTTTGGACTACAGGGTTGTGGCAGAAAAGAAGCTTATCTCTCAAACTAGGTTGCTAAAGGGATTGACCCAAGGGTTTGAGAAATGTTATGAATGAGTTCATTGTTCCTTTAGAAGCATTGACCTAAACTTGTTTATCCTGTTGAGATTGAAGGTTGATTGTTGATCCCGCGCCATTAGATGATAGTGATTCGGTGTGGGATGTAATAAGCCCGATTGATGTAATCTCCTATAGTCTCTTTTTGTTTTTTGTCATATTTAATTATATTGTATTTATATTCCCAAGTATAAGAATTGTAGTTATTTTCTTTATTTAAAGAAAATTGGTTTAGTGACATCAAGGTTTTTAATATTATAAGTATTAGTTTTATTTTATTTGAAGCAAGATTTATTGTAGTAAAACTACTTGTATGTGATATTTGTCAAAAGAAAAGAAAAATAGGTGAAAAGAAAAAAAATAAAAAAATATATCCCCGGGCAAGATCATATTAGTCTTTATTTGAAAAACTAGTTATAGAGAGAGGGGTTTACAAAATAATATATATAGTCGTTTTATTCTGTTTTTGTTTGGGCTAAAAATGAGTCGTCAAAACAGCAAAGTTGGTTAAGAGGGTTAGAAGATATATTATATGATGATCTTTATGCCACTATAAACATTTTTAAACCCTGTGTTGGTTGAGAAATGAAATCTCAAAGTAGAGCGCATGAAAATATTTTTCCTAAAAAAATAATGAATATTTGAATCACGATATTGCAATAAAGAATAAAAAAAGATGAAAAGAGAGATGGAAGTTCCTTGTGCTTTCAGACTTACACGTGAAATTAAAGGGCGATGTGAACTGAAAGTTAAAAAGTTAAGTTCAGAGTGGAAACGTGTAGGAACTATCCCAAAGTTGAGATTAGTTTGTTTGGTGTATGATAGAGACCGAAAAGAAGAGGGGGAAGAACGTTGTTGACTTTGTAACGTACTCATTGCATTGACTTTTCGACGTCTTTGTTTTAGAAATTCAGATTGCGGTGGATCATTTATTCATTGATTATTGAATTGATGCAAATTGGTGATTTCAAATATGTAAATAAATAAAAATAAAAATAACAATAAAAATAAAAATAGAGATTTATAGATATTTAAGAGGATCTATTAAAATGTTAGACAAGTTTAGAAAAATAAAAAATAGCATTTGAGGGGAGAACCGGGCCGAACCCATACTCATACAATCTTGTTTGGTCTCGATTGATATCCATTTAGATTCATGATCTAAATGAGAAATCAATTTAAAGGAGTTATTTAATTTGAATAAGTAACTAGTGAACTTTTTAAAAATTAGAGAAATTATCAAAAATATATTTTAATTTTCATCTAATTAAAAAAAAACCTCAACTTAGAAACTTCATCTACATCATTTTTTTTTCAATTTTAACAATTTTTTTTTGCTAAAATAACCTTCACTATAGTTATGTTACGATAATACGACTGAAAAAAAAGAGGTATGGACGGCACTTACGAAAATTGAGATTTTTTTTTATCAATTAGGAAAAAAGTAAAATATAATTTTTTATAGTTTCTTTAAAAAATAATAAAAATGCATTAATGCTACACCCAAAAAAGAAACTCAACACGCTTGAAAAACTTTTATTCGTTCAACTCTCTCTCCTCCAATAAAAGAATGTTGCCCACGAGCTTCAATGGAACGAAGTTCTCAATTCTGTGGAAGCGTTTTAGGGAGAGAAAAAGTGTAGAGAGAGAGGGCCAGCATTTTAGAGAGAGAAAAAGGTTGAGAGAGAGAGGGGGCCAGCATTTTAGAGAGAGAAAAACTGTCGAGAGAGACGGCAACGTGTCAGTTACGACAGCACCTTGCCATTTTAAGGACGCATTAGCGGGTGGTCAACAAAACTTACGGCTCTTTTTGAGTTGGAGCCCGTGCAAGTTTTATTTTAAAAAAAAAGTAACATACAAATTTATTGAAAATATTGATTATTTTTAAGAAAGTTATAGTTGGTCGGTGGTGTTTTAAGTTTTATTTTTATTTTTATTAATCGGAATAATTTAAAATTTGGGGAGTATATACATTTTAGTGATGCGCATATAATAAAACTACGAAAAAAATAATTCGTAAAATATAAATTGACTAAGATACCCCTATAAATTTGTAGAGATATTTTGGTTAATTTATAGTTTTCAAATTATTTTTTTCATATTTTAATTAGGTGCGCCTCACTAAGATATACACACTCTCTAAATTTCAAGTAATTTGGGTATGTAAAAAAAGAAAAAAAAAATTAAAACACCACCAAATAATTGTGACCGTGCGATGAAGTTTGGATAATGATGATGGTAGGGGATATATATATATATATATATATATATATAAGTAAAAGTTTATATAGAACCGAGGCTCTAAACAATCAAATTTGAGCCTACCTCAAAATTTCATTAGAAGAAGTTGTTTTGATATCCAAATATCTTCAAATTGAGCATCTCGACATCAAAATCCATGGACATAAGAAATAAATAGATTGCAACTTTTGGAAATAGTGTATTTTGTACACATTTTTTGACAGTCAACTTTCATGATTTTCAAGTTTTCATAGATATGTCGATTTACTCTAATTTTGAAGCTTTAAACTTTATAATTAATTATGAAAATATATTTTAAGGCTATTACAAAGATTTTTGATATTAAAACCATATTTCTCGATACTATTTGAAAGTAGGCTCTAATTTGATTGTTTAGAGTCTGAACTCTATACAAACAACACCATATATATATATATAAGTTATATACCATTGTTTTGTAATATAATTATTTTTTAATAAATGTATTTTTTGTCATTAAGAAGTGTGATACATCGTCTATATGGTGTGTAACACCACCCACATGCACTAGCATAACCATGAAGTTAAGATGACCAATGAGAGAGCTTTCTAACAGCCAAACAACCTTTTTTGTAATAGGTTATTGAGGTATACCTTACTTTTTTATAATATAAGGTCGATATTTTATATAAAATTTTTCTTTATATGTATTACAATTTATCTCTCTATGTGGATATTTTTATGATTTCTTACTCATTATAGTGAATGGAACTTTGTAGCCAAATGCTTTAAAATACTTGAGGAATGTTATAGAAAGTGTATATTGTGTGAGTATAATATGTTATGTTTATGGTAAGATTGGGCATATTGTAGGTGTCATTGATAGTTTTTTATTATGGGAAAGTATAGAATGAGATTATTTACTTTTGATACAAGGTGGTCACATCTATTTTGACCATTGGATGTGAAACTGGTTGGCTGCAATTATTCTACTGATTAAGCTCAAACTTCAAAAGAAATTTTCTCAAACTTAGTAACACATCCAAGCTATCAAATTTCACATCTCATAGTTATAAGAAATTGTGACTACCTTGTGTAAATAGTCTCATTGTACACGATCCCTTTTATTATTGTTATGGCTTGTTGTATATTACACTGGACTTGTATATTCCTTATTGACATCAATATAGAGATAGTTCTCTACAAAAAATCCTGAGACTTTATAATGGAATTATGAAAAAAATCCCATTTTATTATCAAAATATAGAAATAGTGGCATTATCTAGACAATCTATTTTTAAGTTTTTATAAATTTGCTTGATCTACATTATTTTGAAAAGTTTTAAATCAACTAATTAGAGTAAAAATATATTTTATGATCATCACAAAAATTTCCGACACCAAAACATCATCTTCGGACATTATGTAAGGATGTTTCTTATACCAACCCCACCCTTTAGAAAAACTTCCACAGGAACACTCATGTTTAAAGGTGCACTCTATTTTGATTGTTTAGAGCCTCGGCTCTACACCCTTTGGATAAGCTTTCACGGGAACACCCATTATAAAAAATAAAAAATAAAAAATAAAAAGAAATTGAACATTATAAACTCTTTTCCTTTACACGAGATGTATTTGTGCGTCCATAGGACTTAAGCAGTGAGAGAATGCACGTATGAACTCCGTGCGATATTAAGTCTTTTAGTTTAAGGACTTCAAAGTCATTTCGAAAAAGACTGGAACTATTCCCGTCAGGAAAAGTATTTACCCGTATCATCAGACTATAAATATGGGCCATAGAGCTTGAGGTTCCTTCCTCATTTTTTGTAACTCTCTCTCTAAAATTCAGTTTCTCTCTCTTAGAAAATGGGCGAACCTGTAATTGCAGTCGAAGAGCAGCCAATCTCAACCGAAATTCAAGGAAAATCTCCCATTCATGGGAGACTCAAGCGAGCCGACTCGTTTGACGCCGAGTCTCCCGGCTTAAAAAGGGGCTCCCAGGTCGGTTTTCCGGCGAACTTTCCGGCGAATTATTGGACTATTTGTTGCGTTTGTTTTCCTCATCACTCTTGTCATTTGATGTTCTCTATGAAAAACTCCGTTAAATTAGTGGTTCTCTTCTGGTCTTTGATATTTCGGCTGCTAAGTTTGGTGTCATTCTACGTGTTTCTTCTTCTATTTGTTTTCTCCGGCAATATAGATCGGAAAATCTGTCAATTTTTTTGATTTTCCAGTGATTCTTTTCTTCTTGCTTGTTGATATTTTGTTTCACGTTTTGTTGTCTTTCTTCTCATTGATGTTCCCGATGAAGAAATACCTTTAAGCGAGTAATTTTTTTTTTCTTTTTCTTTGATCATTTCGCTGCAACTTCCTCTATCCTGCACATGTTTTTCTTCTAATTTGATTTTCCGGCGAGATCAGCTAGAAATCTGGCAAGATGTTTAAATATCCGGCAATTTTTCTTTGCTAAACTCGTCTGAATAAATTTTCTAGCTTTTGTTTTTTTCTCGTCTCTTGGATTTCTTCCGGTTTTGCTTTCAGGTTGTATTTTTTCTGATATTCTCGTTTGATTGTCCAGCGAGACTTCTCCTCTCATCAGTTTGGTTTTCCAGCGAGTTTTTTTGTCCAGAAAAGTGGTTTTCTTAAGTTTTCCGAATACTAGGAAGAATATCTTTTGTTTATTATTCTCAAGTTTTATTAACAAAAGGGTGCGGTTTGCATAGAGCCTAGGCTCTAAACAATTAAATTTGAGCCTACCTTCAATGTCGAGAAAAGTGGTTTCAATATTGTTTTGATTATTATTCTATTTGGTTATCTACCTTGTTTTTCTCCATTAAAAGTTCGTGACAGTAAAATATTTTTGCATTGAAATGTCTAGGATACCCTAAACTTCCCCTCAAATGTCTATTTGGTTATATACCTTGTTTTCCTCCATTAAAAGGTCGTGACAGTAACATATTTTTCCTGTGTTTTCCATTCTTGAAAAGTTTTCTGCATCAGTCTAACGCGGTTTTAGTCAGATTTTTGCAGAGATTTGGCTCATTTTGACACTCGGAAAATATTTGGGGTTTTTGTGGCAAGTTCTTCCTTTCTCTCTCTTTGATTTTGGGCGGGAGATTTCAGTACCCTAAACGTCTCTTGAAATGTCTAGGATACCCTAAACTTCTCCTCAAATGTCTATTTGGTTATCTACCTTGTTTTTCTCCATTAAAAGGTCGTCACAGTAACATATTTGGTTGGGTCGGCCATGCGATTTTTTTGCCCTTTTATTGTCTGATCGGTGGGTACGCTGGTAATTCTTGCTAAAGTTGGGCCTCTTTGTTCACCACTGAATGGTGATGCTGTTCATTATGGTATTTGATTTCCGGCAAAATATTATTGCAGTTCATTAATTAACCTTTCCCTTATTCAATTTCACTGATTTCCATTTTCTACTTGAATTAGAGAGAATTTCTTTTATTTGTTGGCATTTGCTTTTAGAAAGTTCCAAAAATTTGTTCGTTGATATATTTAGTGGCTGTGTTTTATGGTGCTTTTTTTTCATATCATTTCTGCCCCTTTTGGGGCTATCTATTTATAAATATCTTGGTGGCCTGGTCGGGTCCATTGCCACCTTTACTATGAGCTTTTTTTTTTTTTTATTTTTTTTTTTATTTTATTTACCATCATATACCCATATTATTGGCGATAGGTCACAATCACTCGCTATTAAATTTCAAACCGTTTGATTTGCCTTTTAATAGCTAAAGATGACCATGAGTTCTTATTGCATACAGTCCTTAATATACACCTAAACGAATAAAGTTTGAAGTATTTTATCTCCATCCCCGGACCCGGGTCGGGTCGGGGTCCATTGCCACCCCTTTTAAGAAATGCAATTTTACACATATAAACATATGAAAATCTTGAAAATGGACGGTGTAGATAATATGTTGTAAAATGCGTTATTTCTGAGTCTTAAAATCTGTTTATTTTTCATGATCATACATCTCGATGTTGAGATGATCAATCAAAGGGTTTTTCAACATTAAAACTACTTTTTCTGATGGATTTTTGTGATGGATTTTTGAGGTGCATTTATAGTTCTACATTATGAAGTTGCATCCTATATAAACTTTTTCCATAACACTAGTAAAAAAATAGTACCCTAGCTCTCTATATTTGACATGAGCATGCATAAGCGATTGAGAGAGGTACATAGTATGGCTTTATTAAATGTACAAACGGAAACAAGAGGAGCACTAAACATACAATGTATGTCTCCGTTAATGCATTTAGTAAAGCCATACTACATTTGGATACCACCCACTCACGCCTAAATGTATGTGTCTCCGTTAATGCCTTTATTAAGTTTCAGCACAAATCATTATCAGATTAGTTTGGTTGAAACTGATACCTAACCGCGATAATGAGTTGAAAGAAAATGGACAATCCATGAGGCCAAACACCTGATAAACCTAACTTCTATTCTTATTGTCTCACTTATGCTCGTCTCATAAGCTTTCTAAAAAAACGTAACTGAAACAAATTTCTACTTCTTCAAAAATTTGACTCTTATTATCTTTTTTTTAAAAAAAAACTAGCTTAAAAAAACATACTTTATCAAATTAACCTAAAAATGCTGTTTTTAACCATTGACCCTAACAAGATAAAAATAAATATAAACTCATAGATTTAAAAATAAAAATAAAAATGAAAATTTCAATCAACCCAATTTTTTTTTATCTATATTACAAAGCACACCTTCATCTCCCTCTACAAACAAACCCTCAAGACCTACTTTTGCCTCAAGCCCCCATGTTTTCACAAAAGCATGGCAAGCCTTGATTTTCTTCGTATTCTACCTCTCGTCCTTCGCCACTTCACATGATCAACATCAATTATGATAATTTGGTCAACATCAATTATGATAATTTGTTTGTTTCCAAGAAAAAGAATGCGTATTTCCAATATTGGGGGTGGTAGGTGAAGTAAGAATAATCAAGCTTTGCCTCTCTCTACTATTTTAAGAAATATCACATTTAAATCTTTCTTCAAATTATTATTATTATTATTAACAATTATCCTTCTTCATATTATCTTCCCATTAATAACCTTGGAGCATGCTCTGGATTGATTTTTTCCAGTCCTTTATACCTGAAATATTATTCCATTTCTTAATTCCTTGTTTTTTGTAGACTTGTAGTTGGGGCACAATTTTCAGTCCCTTGTACGTGAAATAACCTTGTTTTTTGTAGACTCATAGTTGGGGCGCAATTTTCAATCTCGCTTTCCAAAGCATAGGCGTTGTTTATGGGGACATTGGAACATCTCCACTGTATGTGTATTCGAGTACATTCGCGAGTAGCATTCAGCACAACGATGACATATTGGGGGTCTTGGCTATCATCATATATACCCTTATACTCATCACTCTGATCAAATATGTGTTCATTGTACTCCAAGCAAATGATAATGGCGATGGTAAGTTGGTAATTACCCTGCTTCCTTTTAAGACACTTACTTACTACTGCTACTTCTATTAATCATTTTTATTTAAAATGGAAGATGATTTGAGGTTTTTTGGGCTATTTTCGGATCTGGTTTCCTTTGCTTTTTGGGAATTATCATTATGCATGGAGTCTCCTTTTATAGTTGACAAAGTAGCCTTTTGGGTAGTTTCATGATGCATAGACTTCCCTTTTATAGTTCACGAAGTATGTCTCATTGTTTGAAGGAAAAGTATCCCGTCCACAAGATTCATGTGGATGGGTGGATAAGCACCCCTCTAATGGTTGAGATCTCATATTGTCAGATCCAACTGCCGAAAATCAGTCTCGTATTTTATTTTTTATCAAAATATTATGCTTATCTGAATTTTTAAGTGTAGGTGTATTTATACATGTAACTAAATAAAAATGATTCAAAAATATTTTAAATAAAAAATTATCAAAATACTTCTAAATCTATTTTGGTCAATATTTTTGTATTAATTTTAAGAAAATTATTTGGCGCATCCAAGTCCGCACCTGTTACTATGCGGGCTCGGAGATCTACACCATCCACCAAAACTGGGTCTTGTAAATAATAGTCATCCAAAAGAAAAGTAAAATCAATGGTTCAAATATTTTCCCCAAAAAATATCATTTATAGTTTTTAAAATTTATTTATTTTTATAGATTAAATCTCTATGTTAAAGATTATATATTCCCTAAAAATTAAGATCAAATTCTATTTCAAAAATAAATTATTAATGGGCCTGCATTTCTACATATGAGTCCATGGACTCATAGAAACAATATCCTTAATTTTATTCAATCTCATTTACAAAATGAATCTAAAACCAAGATTTCAGATTAATATTATTTAAAAAAAAAAAAAGAAAAAAAAAAGAAGAGATTCATTATTGGCCCTTGGATGAGCATGGTTCAATCTGAACCATTAAAAGGTGCAAAGCTTTGCAACTTTTAAGCGTCCACACATGCTGTGGACGTAATATCAACCCTTGTTTGGAATGCTTCGATATTTAAATCCAGGGATATTATGTAAAAGAGAAATGGTTATTCGTCAATAAGTAGGAGCCTTGCTATCATTTTTGGGAAATACTAGATCATTGTGGAAAACTGTGTTCTGCTGATATAAATGTTAATTTTCTGCTGGGAATTTGATCATTAAGAGAGAATTTTATTTTTCATCACTTTCGGTCCATTGCTATTTTATAGAGCAAAAGAAACAGTACAACTGTGAGTGCCACAGTCTTGTGTTCGTATAGGTGAAAGTGCATGCAGTTCAGAAGTTGATTTTGTGAAATTGAAAAAGGTGTAGGCAAATTGTTATGGGCCTCCAACTCTCTTAGCCACCATATGAGGCAATGCTTGAGCCTCAGCCAATTTAAGTAGACATGTTCTGCAAAGATTAAATGTAAAATATTCTTGCTTGTCTCTTTGAATGATTGTGTTTGGGCTGAGTGTTGGTATTATACTGTCAAAAATAAAAATAAATCATAAAATAGAAGACATAAAATAAAAAGGTTAGTTTGTCCATATTTTCATGCTTGAGCCTAGACTAATCTTGTGCCAAATTCGAGGTCTGGAAGAAATTGTAATTCAATTTATTTTTAGGAAAAGTATACAAAGGGACCACTTTTCTAGTTCAATTTATTTTTAGTTTTTTTTTTTCTAGTATGTATCGGTGTATTGAGATTTCTACTTCAAAATTTTGATGTACTAGATTTAAGTTTTACTGCTGCATAGGCTAGGTGATACCCACATAACTTCTTCTTTCACCAATCTATCGCTTTCTTCCGAAATTCTCTGTGTTTTTTTCTTTCCGAGTCTTATGTCATGTATTCTTAGGGGGCACTTTTGCTTTATATTCATTGATATGCCGATACGCCAAGGTGAGTCTCATCCCGAACCAGCAAGCTGAGGACCGAGACGTGTCGAACTACAGGTTGGAGCCTGCAAGCAGGAGCTTGGCTCGAGCATCCAAGGTGAAATCATGGCTTGAAGGCTCGGCAACTGCCAAGTTTACCCTGTTGCTAATGACCATGCTTGGAACCTCTATGGTCATCGGGGATGGTGTCCTCACCCCTTGTATTTCAGGTATGGCCTTTTCAACTCGTCAGCAGTTCATATTACTCTTAAATTATTTATTTTCCTTTTTAGATAAAAATGCTTTTTATCTTTGAAAGAAAATGTTTTCACGTGTCTCCACACACATATAATTTATATATTTGAAGGTTCATAAGCTTTCGGTCTTGATTTGATGATTGAAAGCCAAATAAAGTTAATGTTCTTAGCTTTCATCAATTGGTAGGCTATGATTAATGCTTTATATATTGTTGACGCACGCCTAGCAGGCAGATCTTGGTCAAATGACTCTAGACACATATATATCATGTATGTAAGGGTAAATATAAAGCTTGCCCTTTTTCGATAAGCCAAAAAATAATATGTCCTTGGGGCAGGCAGCATATTGTTCATTGACTCCCTTGGCCAAACCCTACCTAGGAGTTTTTTAGGACCCCGGGATATATATTCCTTAACAAATAAAAAGAAAAATTCATCCATGTGCCTAAGAAATGACATTTACCGTTCAATTTTTTATTACTTAGATCAAAGTGGTTGGGGATTACGAACTCATAATTCAATCTCTTATTACTTAGATCAAAGTGGTTAGGGATTGCGAACTCATAATAATTCAATCTCTCTTTTTTCAAGAACTCATGTACTGATCCTAAATAGATGATAACATTTTATATTAAAAAAAATTACGTAAATAAATTTTTTTAGCAGGGATGAAGTGTGCAACATGTGAAAGTACTATGTACGCTATTTTGAAATTGAAAAAAAAGTATGGTTTGTATAAGGCCGAAGCTCTAAACAATTAAAATAAGGCACACATTCAAATAGTATGGAAATATGTTTTAGTATTGAAAATACCTATATGGTTTGAAAAGATATTTCTATCTTTAATTATAAAATTTAAAAAGTTGTGTAAATCAGGCAGATTTATGAACTTGTAAATGTTGAAAATCGACGGTCTAAATAATGCACTACAGATGCACTATGTTCAAGACTTGAAGTTTATATATTTATTGATGTGCATGTATGTCAAGGTCGAGATTTTCCGATTTGAGACTTTTTCTTACATCAAAACAACTTCTAGTGAATTTGTTTAATTATTTAGAGCCTGGACGTTATGTAAACTCTTCCCTCCGAAAAATTTGCTATAATAACCCAGTGGAGGATTGAAAAGCCACACCCCTTTTGGTCATCACTGTCCACTGATACGATACTCGCAGATGAGAGGGAGTCGGGAGAACAGGGGTAAGGACCATAATTGTGGGCTCTGCTCTCTCTCTCACACCTACGCCTGCGCTCGTCTCAATAGACTATGATGACCGAGTATAGTTTTCTCATGGTCCCATGATTACATTATTTCCTAATCTCATGGGCATGCTCCATCTTTTCTGGTCAGATTAGTGTGCGTTAAGTATATGTTATGGACATTGCAAATCTTTTAAGTCGTATTAGATTTTTGGCCTCGGCAAAATGGTTAGGGGATTCTTCTAATTTATTCCTGTCGTTACTATGTTACAGTATTATCAGCCGTGGGAGGAATCAAGGGAGCTGCCAGTTCTTTGACTGAAGGTGTGGATAAAAGAAAGATTTCTTTTATTGGTTTCGATCAATTTGAAGGCTGAGCATGTCTTTTTCACTGTCACCGTCTGTCTCCGACCTTTCATAAATACCAACCTCTGGGAAACCCAACTTTGCATCTATTTTCCAGATAAAACTTTCTAACAAGGTTCATCGATGAAATCTGGGCAGCTGGGGAACATGTTTAGTATTAGCTGGATTTCCACAGAAATCCCATTTGATGTCAAGATATTGTTCTCACTAAGATTTATCCATGGCTTTTTAACCCACTTGTGTATCTGTTTCAGGAGGCCGATTTTTTTTCGAACTTTTTACCTGATTCACCCAAGAAGAATAACAATTTGGAGAATTAACTGCTGAGCTGAATTTCGATGTGCTTTTTAGTCTGTTCTAGTCATTTAATTTAATTCGTATTAATGTTATCAAAATCCATAATGTTAGGGATTTTGATAACATTATTACTCTTTTCCCCAAGAAAGCGTGTTATCATCTGAGAAGGGGAAATATAATTTTTCCTTGTTATACAAAATGTGATTTGAACTGGGTCCAAGCCAGCAATCTGACCAAAAGGAAGATTCGCTGGTTGATATCTGATCCATTTCCCAGTGACGTTTCAGTGACATTGGTTTCTTATCACTCCCTGAACTTGGTTTGAAACATCGAACCGCTTGGGATACCGAACGGTCGGAGCAAGGATCTCAGTAGCCAAAGATTTGGATTTCAAGATACATATCATTGTAGAGAAATTTTTGTTTGAAGACTAAGGAGAACAACTTAATTCAGGAATTTTTCTGAAGTCAATGAAGCTAATTTAAACTTTGATTCAAAATATATAATGGACGGTGTGCTGACAGTTGTCCATTGCTGACATTCATAGAGTGATATTTTTCTCTATTAGAACATTACTTGAAATATGCCTTTTTTTCTAATAGATACTAAAACATGAATGAATACTTTTCTGAATGTAAATGTTTAAATAAATGCTTAAATATCAGTTCCAAATGTAAGTTGATTTTGGCTAAAATTTGAATTGGATTGTGCACGCTGAAATTCAGCCTGGATTCAGGGTATAAAACCAACATATGAGTAGCTTATTATCATTATTGTGTTTGTTGATTTAACCAATATCAGCAGAAATCTGTCCAAAGTTTAGTTAACATTTTCTAAAGTAGGTGAAAGATTTTCTGAGTTATTAACTGACTCTCTTTCAGTTCTGTGAAAATCATTCTCCTAATTGAAGCTTAAGCACACGTACGCACATGAGCATGAGAATGTCAACATATTCACACATATGAAGCATGTTCTCTCATGAACACACTCGCTGGCTTCAGATTTCAGTTCTTATTTTTCAGCATGGCTGTTTTGTTACCTTTGCAAAATAATTGGATTAATTTTGGTTGTGTTCTAACTTACGGAAAACAAAAGTTGTATTCCAAATTGGAGGTAATTCTGCAATTTCCTGTAAGCTGCAGAATCATTCCCTTTGTTTAGTGACTTAATTGTATCTTATTTTTGCAGGACGGATTGTTTCGATATCTGTAGCGATCTTGGTCTGTATTTTCTTGGTACAGAGGTTTGGCACAGATAAAGTTGGTTATAGCTTTGCACCGATTATTTTAGTGTGGTTTCTTTTTATCGGAGTCATTGGCTTCTACAACTTTTGTAAGTACGACCCTGGGGTGATCAAAGCCTTTAATCCAAAATACATCATAGACTACTTCAGCAGGAACAAGAAGGATGCTTGGATTTCGCTTGGTGGGATAGTCCTTTGTATCACAGGTTCCCATACTATTTTCTTTCAAGAGTCTAAGTTGTTTCTCTGATGGCTGATATACACCTATAATGTTAATAGAAAATGTGGAACATATTGCTTCTTCTTTACTGTTTATCATATTAGAAAATTCTTCAAATGTTTCTGTTATTTTTGGCTGATTTCTTTTCATTTTAATGCGGTTAATGTTTTCATGGTGACTATGGCTTGCAATATTTTCTGATTTGAATCTTCCTGTCATAGGAACTGAGGCAATGTTTGCTGATCTTGGCCACTTCACGGTGCGATCGATACAGATTAGCATGTGCTCAGTTGTTTTCCCATCACTCATCCTTGCGTATACTGGCCAAGCATCCTACCTACGGAAGCACAACGAGCATGTGAAAGACACCTTTTACAAGTCTATACCAAGTGAGGATTGTAACTTCTAGGAACATTTGTTCTATATCTTACACAAATGCATACACCCACTTACACACATACTCATGGAAATGAATGATTATTGTATGACTTGGGCTGTTCCAACACGTCTAGGTCTGAGTTGTATGTGCATCTTGTGTATAGATTATTTATATACGACTTACACTGTAGGAGAATTAGATTCCTTTGAATAAGAGATTGGTAGGTAAATATTAAGTTTGAAGCCTATGTCAATGTCTATATTGAGAATTTGAAACTAATCTGTCAGGAAAAATATAATTATATTCTTTGTTGTAGGAAGGAACCAGATGTCACAAGTTGACCACCCACTTTTTAAAAGTGAGGCTTTACATATAGAATACTTCTTCTGCTTATAGAAAGTGCAGATGCGTGGTTCTCTTTATGTAGATTACACACCTGAACTATTTGCAAGACACCATACACATGCATGTATTTATGTACCTATCTAAATGTGCATACTAATGTAGTTGTGCCACAGCTCCCTTGTACTGGCCCATGTTTGTGGTGGCGGTAGGTGCTGCAATCATCGCTAGCCAAGCAATGATATCAGGAACATTCTCCATTGTTCAACAGTCCCTTGCTATGGGGTGCTTTCCACGTGTGAAGGTGGTACACACATCCTCAAAGTACGAGGGGCAAGTCTTCATACCTGAGGTCAATTACCTCCTCATGATTGCGTGTGTGCTGGTTACAGCAGGATTCCGTACCACGGAAAAGATAGGCAATGCATATGGTAAGATTCCTTTGCGTCTCCAAATTTACTTAATGGCTCCTTCATGTCGTATGCAAAGAAAGAAATATGGTTATGGTAGGCATCTGAGCACTGTTATCTAACTGTTATGCTGTTGGTTGAATTTGTTGACAATTTTTGTTGAAATTTATCTGACACAAGGCAGGACTCGAACTTAGGTAAGTGTTTAGAGACTGACACTGGGACATTGAGAAAAGAAATCCCCAAATCCTCCGATATATGAAATTTGAGTGCCCCATTCTTACCTAGGTTTGCTTGGGGTAGATAGACACGATGACTTAGTAAACAAGTGAAGCTAGCAGTGCAAGTTGGCCAAAGAGTGAAAGACTAGCACATATCACTTCTCTAAAGACGTGAGCCATCTAGAGAATAATATATAATGGGTTTTGTTGTACGAGCTACTAATATTTGATAGCATCTCTCTCTCTCTCTATCTCTCGATCTCGACACACACATACACACTCTTTTAGATTTTTAGTAATAGATATAATCCCCTTAGTTGCTTGTGGTGTTGATTTAGTTTGAAGCAGCACGTATGTGCACTGCTTTTTAATTGCTTTCAAGAATCAAAATATAATTAACACCGTGCTACTTTAGCATTTATTCAGCTTTGGGGCAAATGATTTGACATGCACGAGTCACAGAGACTTGGCAGGTTACCAGTGTAGCTCTAGCCTTAGACAAACTCTCAAGAGTCTTACTCTCCAGGTAACATTAGTAGTGATGAGAAGTTGACTCGTTGGATGCCTGATTGAGCTGAATCAAGGAGTTTTCAAACTATGGTTGCTGGGAAGATAATGTGTGGTTCCACTTGTTGAAGTGGAGAGCTTACCAAACATGTCGGTCTTACTACTGGTTTCTTTCTCAGTGGTATAGACTAAACATGGTGGAAAAAGATATTATTGCTGTTGAGTTGAAGGGATATAGAACATTGTACAAGATTGTTTATATTCCTTACGTGTCTTCACCCAGAAGATTGAGAATGCTCGTTAAACAACTCTTTTACATCTGTCGCTCCCTTTAGATGTGAAGCACCATTTTCTAGATGCTCACCTGTCATCCTTCTACAGAATTTGTCAGATTGTCTTAGCAGCCATTGAAAACCCATCTTAAGAGTAGCCTAAGTTGTTACGCCATGATAAACAAAAACGCTGACCATCTTAGAACAGAGTATCAAAGGTGAACTACTTGTGCTTAACTTGTTTTGTTTGCACTCTTACAAGTTGCTAGTGCCTAATTCTAGATCTCTACATAGCATAGCATGTTTATTAAACTGTTCCCCACTTTGAGAAATGTGTTTTTAAATGATTGATTTTGGACCGTTTTGAGCCATATAAATGATTAGTATGTCTTTTCTATTGGCGTTGTCCTTGTTTGGCTTTTTTTTTCGAAGACTAAGGTGGGTAACTCTACATTGCCCTTCCCTACTATTAAATTCTCTGGCTTTGGACTTCGTCTTATGCATTCCATGTTCTTAGTTTTCTGCTAATCTTATAGTTGTTGATTTTTTATCATTAAAAAAAATAAATCTTGTAGTTGTTGATCAGTTAAGTAATTGGAACTCAGTTCTTATCATCATCATCATCTTCCGAGCCTTTTCCCAACTAGGAACTTATTTTTTATGTTATACTCAGAATAGCTCTTATGTAGAATAAGACCCATTAACTGATTGGAAGGGACTGCAAAGGTGAGTGCTTCTCCCACATTATCCCTTGTTAATTGCTTCCTCTTTTGCTATTGTTTCAATGCCCTCTTATCTCTTTTAAATTGTATGGTCAATCTTACTTCATCTGTTAAACTCCCATTCAAAATGACAGATGATTCTTTTTTGATGGCCGTTAATCTGAAAACTCTGCTTTGTGTTTCATACAATATTGAATTATGCTTTATTGAACTTATACGAAGTTAAGGTGGATATGTTTTGAACATAAGTTGCTCATTTGGATTATCAAATTAACATCACCACTGGTGCTGCTATCATCATTCAGGGGCTCTTGCTATGCTTCTAATCTGAATATGCTTCTGCCTCTATTAATATTGTTATTTTTTGTGTTAATATCAGCTTCAATTTTCTTTTCTGTTTTTTAGTTACCATTGGGCTTCTTTTTCATACATGCTTATTTCATATGTGCAGGGATTGCAGTTGTGTTCGTGATGACACTCACGACTGCACTTGTAACCTTAGTCATGGTCATGATATGGAAGACCAACATCTTCCTAATCCTGGCCTTTGTACTTGTACTTGGCTCAGTCGAGCTCCTTTATCTGACCTCTGTCCTCTACAAATTCACCCAAGGTGGCTACCTCCCCTTAGCCTTTGCAGCCTTCCTCATGACTATCATGAGTGTATGGAGCATGGTACACTTGCGCAAATACAACTATGAGCTCCAACACAAAGTCCCGACCAGAAACCTGCTTGACCTGACTACAAAACCGGAGGTCCACCGGGTCCCGGGCATCGGTCTATTCTACTCTGAGCTAGTAGAGGGCGTCCCACCCATTTTCTCTCACTACATTGACAATGTGCCTGCCGTCCACAAAGTTTTAGTGTTTGTGTCCATGAAGTGGCTGCCTATAGGGCGGGTCCCACAAGATGAACGCTTCTTGTTTAGGCGAGTAGGGCCCCGTGAGCTTGGGGTTTTCAGGTGCATAGTGAGATATGGTTACACTGATGCGGCTTTGGTGCATGGGGAGTTTGAAGCCGGGATCGTAGAGGGGTTGAAGCAGTATATAAACTCCGAGCACATGTGGAGTATGGGGGAGGATGGGGAGGTTGTAGCGAGAGAGTTTGATGATAAAGAGGAGGTAGAGAGAGAATTGAGGGAGGTGGAGAAGGCAATGAGTACGGCAGTAGTGTATTTGGTGGGTCAGACTGAGGTGGTGGCTAGGAGCGAGGCGAGGTGGTGGGAGAGGGTGCTGATAGACTATCTATATACTTGGTTGAGGAGGAATGTGAGGCAGGGGGTGGAGGTGCTGCGTATTCCTAATAGAAGAATGGTGAAGGTGGGAATGACTTATGAGCTCTGACCAACCCAATTGATTGGTTAGAGAGAGAGAGAAGGTGACTCTTGGTGTCCCTCCAAGAGGTTTCCCAATCTTGTTTATCTTGTTTTTCCTCTTTTTTTGGTGTATGTGATGTGAAAGCAAGGAAAAGAGAATATACATGAAAAACAACATATATAAGGAAGTTTTATTTGAATTGAATTTGGCTGCAATGGAAAATTGTGTCAATATGGTGCTCTTATTGCTCTTTAGATCCCTCTGATATTACAATTATACCGGTTCGGACCAGCCGGATCAATTGGTCAGTTTGCCAAACAGGTGCCTTAAGAAGGAAATTAGTTTGGTTAAAAATCATTCAAAACTTATGACTGATATCTTTGGTCGGTTGGACTTTGATATTTTTAATAGATTGGATGGGCTAAACGAAGTCCTACAATTTTTCTTCCGTAATATGTTTTTATATTTCTAAGCTAGTATGTTTACATTTTTTGTATAACTAGCATGACATTTAATGAGTGAAGTAATTATGATATATGGGAGTGAAGTGATTATGACATGTGTGAGTGATTGTGATCTCCATGTACAAAAGAAAAATGGTCTCTTTGTAAAAAAAGAGAGAAAAAGAATTAATCTTATGTAGAACTGGGCCATTAAGTTGGGGGCATTTGAGCATTTAGATACAACGTAATGCATTGAGATCATATTTGCTGGTCTAGTTTATGGACTATGAAAACTCTTAATTCACTACCAGAACTCATATTTATTATGCCCATCTTGATTTACTTAATTTGATTCACTTAATTGGAGAGATGGGGGAGAAAGAGATATTCACCTCAAACCAAGGCGTGACCCCCGAGAGGATCCATTCTCTCAGTAATGACTATCACCCTCGTTGTGCTATAATGATCCAATGGATTATGGTTTCCCATTGCTATAATCCATACTATAATTAAGCAGGACTATTATGTCCCTCTTAATGTTCCATACCGTATTTCCTCTTGGAAAGAAGATAAGATATACCTAAGACATATTAATATGTCAGATTATACCCAAGACATATTAATATGAGATTGTGTGTTGCAAGACCATTCACTTTTACTATAAAGAGATCATAATTACTCTTAGCTATTTAATGTAAAATCAAATGATTTAAAGTATGTATAATTTGAAAAATTATATTTTGGACTTTGTGGCCAATTGATGGCACATTCTGAGCCATTCGATTTCACATCTAACGTTTAATATTGATTATGATTTCTTTATATCAAAAGTAAAAAATCTTATTGCATATATTTCCTATTAATATTTATTTTTCTGCAAAATGTGTTTCAACTTTCAATTGGGGCAGAAACTTTCTTGTTATCACGGTTTTTAATCTCAATTTTGAGAAAAAGTATCTTCGAACTAAGTTGATAGATTTAACCTTTGAAAATGAATCTTCTTCACCCCTAATTATTTTTGCCTCCTACAAATCCGAAGTTTTTTTTGTTTGCCATGAACCCTCTATCATCTCTCTCTCCTTAGAATTTTCAAGAAATTTTTTTTTTTTCGAAGAGCTAAAAGGCACTTAACTGCTTGCTTGAAGTTTCAAATAAACGACTTATTTTGCAAATAAAATAAAAATTGGTGTTTATGGTTTTCATTGCTTGCGAAACATCGATACGGAGAACAACCTAGGGGAAGCCAATGGATACACGCATAAGGTGATTAGTATACAAACCAAAAGTGAAGTTACTACAAGGTGGATCACAAAAAAATGCTCAAAAAATATCTCACAAATGGTCAAACCACCTCTAAAAAATAAACGGTGTAGTTAAATGGGAAAATTACAAAATACCTCATGACCTAACTTTCTTTACAACCTTCTCCTAGCCAATTTTTTTTTCGCAACTTCTATCACAAAACAAACCTTTCTAACAAATACCCCCAATAAAAAAGTCATCATTTTTAGGACCAAAATTCCTTCTCTCTCTTCTAACTCCGACTGCTTAACTTTTCCCATAACACACACTAAGGCGGTCCGACAGTATAAACAAGTTGTCTGGCAATATCCCAAAGTGGTCCGACACTACCAAAGAACAACCCAGCAATAGGCCCATGCGGTCCGGTATTGCCAAAGAGCAGTCCGGCAACAGGCCCAACGTGCGGTCCGGCAACGTCCCCACTCGGTCCAGCACATTGTGGACTCGATACGACATTCTTTCTAGTCGTTGAGCATCTTACGGGGATGTAATGCCATCATGTACGGACAAGAACATTTTTGTCAAAAAAAGCCAATAACTTTTTGATTTGGGGGGTATTTGCTAGAAAATTTTGTTTTGGGATAAAAGTTGTGATAAAAAGATTGGTTGGAGGGGTATTGTCTACAAGCTTCAATGCTTTTGCCTAAAAATACCCAAATTGCCCTTATTGAATATATGATAAGATGGGATGTTTTGGTAATTTGAATCAATTTAATTAAGTAGCCAAAAAAACAAAAAGGCCATGCTTATCCCATATTCAAAAGAGAATTTATGAAAAAGTCATGTTCCAACTTAAGAACCCAAAGTAGTGATATTTATATCGTTAGGCTCGACTCAAGTGACATGAGCAAAATAATGAAATACCTCAATTTGTTTAGGGTTCCCAATGTGGAACAAGAGATTCTATTGGAATAACATGTTTTATGTTTGGAACCCAAAATATAAGGGTATTTTGGTCTTTTTTTTAAGTCACTAAAGTGCTAAAGTATCCCAGTGCCCCTCCTTGTTCCGAGTACCCAATACAGAGTAGGGGAAGTCAAGCTTTGGGAAGTTTTTCGGGAGCTTAGGGGGTTTTCCGATGACTAAGGGAAAGTTGCAAAGGGTTTTCGGCGGGGTTTTGGTGACTTCCCGACCAAGACGCAGGCAGGGAAAAGCCTCTCAGTGAGTTTCTGGCCATGTAAGAGAAGTTCCAGCGAGACGCCGAAGGGTCAAGGGAAACAGAACAGTCGCTGAAGGTGGACAGTTGCAAGGAAGGTGAATAGTTACAAGAAGTGGATGGTCACAGGAAGTGAACCGCCGCAGGGAAGATGGGCGGTTTCCATTCGCACCTGTGAGACGTGTGTCAGGCGGCATATAAGGACGTGGCGTCGGTTGTCAAGGGACGCAGCAGGGTTCGAGGCGTCACGCATGGAGTCTGTGGCACGTGTGAGAGATCTGAAAACAGCCGGCGCTAGACATTGGCAATCGCAATCGACGTTAGGCATTGGAAAACTTAGCCGGCGCTAGGCGTTGGAAGACTCGACCGGCGCGCTAATGGTTGACAGACACAACTGGCGCCAAGTGTTGTCAGACGTAGCTGGCTCTAGGCATTTGGCAAATGCAGTTGGCGCCAGGCATTGGGAAACACAACCGGCGCTAGGCATTGGGAAACTTAGCCGGCACTAGGCATTGGAAGACTCAGCTGACGCTAAGGGTTGGCAAACACAACCGGCGTTAAGTGTCGTCAGACGCAGCCGACGCTAGGCATTGGGAAAAGCAGTAGGCGCTAAGGTGTGAGTGCCCAACCAACGCTGCTCTAGTGCCTTAGCAATTTTCGATTTGAATCGTTGAGCCCTTTTACAATGGCTTACCTTTTCTTACCGAATTCCTAATGTAAAGAAGCTTCCAAGAGAGGGAGAGATTGGCACTCAGGATTTTACCGGTGAGGCTCTATCAAGGGGTGAGCCCATTTGGCTAACTATGCCAGTATGTAGGCCCTCTCAGTGTCACCTTCATTACTGACCCCTTTCATTTTGAAGTTCGCGAGGGTAATGACGGAAATGTTAGCATTGAAGAAGGGAAGGCACTGCTTCATTATATGCACAGGAACATAGCCTCTGGGGAGAACTTGCCCACCCTAGGGAAACGATTGGTGCAGGCAAAGGGGCTACTAATGTGGTCAGTAAAAGGCCTTCGAATTCAGGGGGAGCACTAATACTTAAAGGGATACTCTTCCTGGACTGCCAAGGTGTTGGTGTCGTATAAAAGCACTCTTGAACGTGCTTCTCTATTAGCAGCGGTCCAGTGTTCGGGCAGCTACTATGATCGGTGCTCCAATACTGTGAAGGTATTGCCGGAGACATGGAGCCATGTTAGCAATACCTGGCTTCTTGGGCATGGGGAAGCAGGAATTACTTCGCTAGATCTTCATTTTATTAGGGTTCTTCTGATAATCGGGGCCATGTATGACGAATTTGTGCCCTAGAATTCGGTCATTTTTAGTGGAGCTAGCTTGGGAGATGAAGAGCCGCCCACCAATCTTCAAAAGATTTTCGAGGCTTACCAATTGATCACTGCCAAGTCTAGCAACGGTCGGGTGACCTTCACCTAATGGGTGAAATTCTTTTGTGGGGACTACCCTGAAGACAGTCGGGGTACTCTGAAAGGGAAAGGGAAAGCATTTGTGAAGGGATCTAAAGAGCAACAAGAGCACCATATTGACACAATTTTCCATTGCAGCCAGATTCAATTCAAATAAATCTTCCTTATGTATGTTGGTTTTCATGTATATTCTCTTTTCCTTGCTTTCACATCACATACACCGAAAAAAGAGGAAAAACAGGATAAGCAAAATTGGGAAACCTCTTGGAGGGACACCAAGAGTCACCCTCTCTCTCCCTAACCAATCAATTGGGTTGGTTAGAGCTCATAAGTCATTCCCACCTTCACCATTCTTGTATGAGGAATACGCAGCACCTCCACCCCCTGCCTCACATTCCTCCTCAACCAAGTATATAGATAGTCTATCAGCACCTTCTCCCACCACCTCGCCTCGCTCCTATCCACCACCTCAGTCTGACCCACTAAATACACTACTGCCGTACTCATTACCTTCTCCACCTCCCTCAATTCTCTCTCTACCTCCTCTTTATCATTAGACTCTCTTGCTACAACCTCCCCATCCTCCCCCATACTCCACATGTGCTCGGAGTTTATAAACTGCTTCAACCCCTCTACGATCCTGGCTTCAAACTCCCCATGAACCAAAGCTGCATCAGTGTAACCATATCTCACTATGCATCTAAAAACCCCAAGCTCACAGGGCCCTACTCGCCTAAACAAGAAGCGTTCATCTTGTGGGACCCACCCTATAGGGAGCCACTTCATGGACACAAAGACTAAAACTTTGTGGACGGCAGGCACATCGTCAATGTAGTGAGAGAAAATGGGTGGGACGCCCTCTACTAGCTCAGAGTAGAATAGACCGATGCCCAGGACCCGGTGGACCTCCGGTTTTGTGGTCAGGTCAAGCAAGTTTCTGGTCGGGACTTTGTGTTGGAGCTCATAATTGTATTTGCGGAGGTGTACCATGCTCCATACACTCATGACAGTCATGAGGAAGGCAGCAAAGGCTAAGGGGAAGTAGCCACCTTGGGTGAATTCGTAGAGGACGGAGGTCAGATAAAGGAGTTCGACTGAGCCAATTACAAGGACAAAGGCCAGGATTAGGAAGATGTTGGTCTTCCATATCATGACCATGACTAAGGTTACAAGTGCAGTCGTGAGTGTCATCACGAACACAATTGCAATCCCTGCACACATGAAATCAGCATGTATGAAAATGAAGCCCAATGGATAACTAAAAAAACGAAAAGAAAATTGAAGCTGATATTAACACGAAAAATAACGATCTTAATAGAGGCAGAAGCATATTCAGATTAGGAGCATAGCAAGAGCCCCTGAATGATGATAGGGGCACAAGTGGTGATGTTAATTTGATAATCCAAATGAGCAGCTTATGTTCAAAACATATCCACCTTAACTTCGTATAAGTTCAATAAAGCATAATTCAATATTGTATGAAACACAAAGCAGAGTTTTCAGATTAACAGCCATCAAAAAAGAATCATCTGTCATTTTGATTGGGAGTTTAACAGATGAAGTAAGATTGACCATACAATTTAAAAGAGATAAGAGGGCATTGAAACAATAGCAAAAGAGGAAGCAATTAACAAAGGATAATGTGGAAGAAGCACTCACCTTTGCAGTCCCTTCCAATCAGTTCATGGGTCTTATTCTACATAAGAGTTATTCTGAGTATAACATAAAAAATAAGTTCCTAGTTGGGATCAAGCTCGGATGATGATGATGATAAGAAAGGAGTTCCAATTACTTAACTGATCAACAACTACAAGATTTATTTTTTTTAATGATAAAAAATCAACAACTATAAGATTAGCAGAGAACATTGAATGCATAAGAGGAAGTCCAAAGCCAGAGAATTTAATAGTAGGGAAGGGCAATGTAGAGTTACCCACCTTAGTCTTCGAAAAAAAAGGCCAAAACCAATAGAAAAGACATACTAATCATTTATATGGCTCAACGTTCCAAAATCAATCATTTAAAAAAACGTTTCTCGAAGTGGGGAACAGTTTAATAAACATGTTATGCTATGTAGAGATCTAGAATTAGGCACTAGCAACTTGTAAGAGTGCAAACAAAACAAGTTAAGCGCAAGTAGTTCACCTTTGATACTCTGTTCCAAGATGGTCAGCCTTTTTGTTAATCATGGCGTAACAATTTAGGCTACTCTTAAGATGGGTTTTCAATGGCTGCTAAGACAGTTTGACAAATTCTGTAGAAGGATGACAGGTGAGTATCTAGAAAATGGTGCTTGACATCTTAAGGGAGCGACAGATGTAAAAGAGTTGTTTAACGAGCATTCTCAATCTTCTGGGTGAAGACACGTAAGGAATATAAACAATCTTGTACAATGTTCTATATCCCTTCAACGCAACAGCAATGCAGCAAGAATATCTTTTGCCACCATGTTTGGTCTATACCACTGAGAAAGAAACTAGTAGTAAGACCAACATGTTTTGGTAAGCTCTCCACTTCAACAAGTGGAACCACACATTATCTTCCCAGCAACCATAGTTCGAAAACTCCTTGATTCACAGCTCAATTCAGGCATCCAACGAGTCAACTTCTCATCACTACTAATGTTACCTGGAGAGTAAGACTCGTGAGAGTTTGTCTAAGGCTAGAGCTACACTGGTAACCTGCCAAGTCTCTGTGACTCATGCATGTCAAATCATTTGCCCCAAAGCTGAATAAATGCTAAAGTAGCACGGTGATAATCATATTTTGATTTTTGAAAGCAATTAAAAAGCAGTACACAACATACGACATAAAGGAGCCAATAAGTAAATTTGGAGACGCAAAGGAATCTTACCATATGCATTGCCTATCTTTTCCGTGGCACGGAATCCTGCTGTAACCAGCACACACGCAATCATGAGGAGGTAATTGACCTCAGGTATGAAGACTTCCCCTTCGTACTTTGAGGATGTGTGTACCACCTTCACACGTGGAAAGCACCCCATAGCAAGGGACTGCTGTACAATGGAGAATGTCCCTGATATCATTGCTTGGCTAGCGATGATTGCAGCACCTACCGCCACCACAAACATGGTCCAGTACAAGGGACCCGTGGCACCACTACATTAGTATGCACATTTAGATAGGTACATAAATACATGCATGTGTATGGTGTCTTGCAAATAGTTCAGTTGTGTAATCTACGTAAAGAGAACCACGCATCTGCACTTTCTATAAGCAGAAGAAAGTATTCTATATGTAAAGCCTGACTTTTAAAAAGTGGGTGGTCAACTTGTGACATCTGGCTCCTTCCTACAACAAAGAATATAATTACATTTTTCCTGACAGATTAGTTTCAAATTCTCAATATAGACATTGACATAGGCTTCAAACTTAACATTTACCTACCAATCTCTTAATCAAAGGAATCTAATTCGCCTACAGTGCAAGTTGTATATAAATAATCTATACACAAGATGCACATACAACTCAGACCTAGACGTGTTGGAACAGCCCAAGTCACACAATAATCATTCATTTCCATGAGTATGTGTGTAAGTGGGTGTGTGCATTTGTGTAAGATATAGAACAAATGTTCTTAGAAGTTACAATCCTCACTTGGTATAGACTTGTAAAAGGTGTCTTCCACATGCTCGTTGTGCTTTCGTAGGTAGGATGCTTGGCCAGTATACGCAAGGATGAGTGATGGGCAAACAACTGAGCACATGCTAATCTGTATCGATTGCACCGTGAAGTGGCCAAGATCAGCAAACATTGCCTCAGTTCCTATGACAGGAGGATTCAAATCAGAAAATATTGCAAGCCATAGTCACCATGAAAACATTAACCGCATTAAAATGAAAAGAAATCAGCCAAAAACAACAGAAACATTTGAAGAATTTTCTAATATGATAAACAGTAAAGAAGAAACAAATTGTTCCACATTTTCTATTAACATTATAGGCGTATATCAGTCATCGGAGAAACAACTTAGACTCTTGAAAGAAAATAGTATGGGAACCTGTGATACAAAGGACGATCCCACCAAGCGAAATCCAAGCATCCTTCTTGCTCCTGCTGAAGTAGTCTACGATGTATTTTGGATTAAAGGCTTTGATCACCCCAGGGTCGTACTTACAAAAGTTGTAGATGCCAATGACGCCGATAAAAAGAAACCACACTATAATAATCGGTGCAAAGCTATAACCAACTTTATCTGTGCCAAACCTCTGTACCAAGAAAATACAGACCAAGATCGCTACAGATATCGAAACAACCCATCCTGCAAAAATAAGATACAATTAAGTCACTAAACAAAGGGAATGATTCTGCAGATTACAGGAAATTGCAGAATTACCTCCAATTTGGAATACAACTTTTGTTTTCCGTAAGTTAGAACACAACCAAAATTAATCCAATCATTTTGCAAAGGTAACAAAACAGCCATGCTGAAAAATAAGAACTGAAATCTGAAGCCAGCGTGTGTGTTCATGAGAGAACATGCTTCATATGTGTGAATATGTTGACATTCTCATGGTCATGTGCGTAAGTGTGCATAAGCTTCAATTAGGAGAATGATTTTCACAGAACTGAAAGAGAGTCAGTTAATAACTCAGAAAATCTTTCACCTATTTTAGAAAATGTTAACTAAAACTTTGGACAGATTTCTGCTGATATTGGTTAAATCAACAAACACAATAATGATAATAAGCTACTCATATGTTGCGTTTTGTACCCTGAATCCAGGCTGAATTTCAGCGAGCACAATCCAATTCAAATTTTAGCCAAAATCAACTTACATTTGGAACTGATATTTAAGCATTTATTTAAACATTTACATATCAGAAAAGTATTCATCCATGTTTTAGTATCTATTAGAAAAAAAGGCATATTTCAAGTAATGTTCTAATAGAGAAAAATATCACTCTATGAATGTCAGCATTGGACAACTGTCAGCACACCGTCCATTATATATTTTGAATCGAAGTTTAAATTAGCTTGATTGACTTCAGCAAAATTCCTGAATTAAGTTGTTTTCCTTAGTCTTCAAACAAAAATTTCTCTACAATGATATGTATCTTAAAATCCAAATCTTTGGCTTCTGAGATCCTTGCTCCGATCGTTCGGTATCCCAAGCGGTTCGATGTTTCATACCAAGTTCAGGGAGTGATAAGAAACCAATGTCACTGAAACGTCACTGGGAAATGGATCAGATATCAACCAGCGAATCTCCCTTCTGGTCAGATTGCTGGCTTGGACCCAGTTCAAATCACATTTCATATAACAAGGAAAAATTATATTTCCCCTACTCAGATGATAACACGCTGTTGTGGGGAAAAGGGGAATAATATTATCAAAATCCCTAACATTATGGATTTGATAACATTAATTCGAATTAAATTAAATGACTAGAACAGACTAAAAAGCACATCGAAATTCAGCTCAGCAGTTAATTCTCCAAATTGTTATTCTTCTTGGGTGAATCAGGTAAAAAGTTTGAAAAAAAATCGGCCTCCTGAAACAGATAAAGTGGGTTAAAAAGCCATGGATAAATCTTGGTGAGAACAATATCTTGACATCAAATGGGATTTCTGTGGAAATCCATCTAATACTAAACATGGTCCCCAGCTGCCCAGATTTCATCCATGAACCTTGTTAGAAAGTTTTATCTGGAAAATAGACGCAAAGTTGGGTTTCCCAGAGGTTGGTATTTATGAAAGGTCGGAGACGGACAGTGACAGTGAAAAAGACATGCTCAGCCTTCAAATTGATCGAAACCAATAAAAGAAATCTTTCTTTTATCCACACCTTCAGTCAAAGAACCCTTGATTCCTCCCACGGCTGAGAATACTGTAACATAGTAACGACAGGAATAAATTAGAAGAATTCCCTAACCATTTTGCGCGAGGCCAAGCATCTAATACGACTTAAAAAGATTTGCGATGTCCATAGCATATACTCAACGCACACTAATCTGACCAGAAAAGATGAAGCATGGAAATAATGTAATCCTAGGACCGTGAGAAAACCATACTCGGTCATCATAGTCTATTGAGACGAGCGCAGGCGCAGGTGTGTGAGAGAGAGTAGAGCCCACAATTATGGTCCTGTACTCCCTCTCATCTGCGGGTATCGTATCAGTGGACAGGTAAGAAAGCAATAGATTGGTGAAAGAAGAAGTTATGTGGGTAGCACCTAGCCCATGCAGCTGTAAAACTTAAATCTAGTGCATCAAAATTTTGAAGTAGAAATCTCAATACACCGAAACATACTAGAAAAATAAAAACATAAAAATAAATTGAACTAGAAAAGTGGTCTCTTTGTATACTTTTCCTAAAAATAAATTGAATTACAATTTCTTCCAGGCCTCGAATTTGGCACTAGATTATTTTAGGCTCAAGCATAAAAATATGGACAAACTAACCTTTTTATTTTATGTCTTCTATTTTATGATTTAATTTTTTTTTTGACAGTATAATACCTACACTGAGCCCAAACACAATCATTCAAAGAGACGAGCAAGAATATTTTACATTTAATCTTTGCAGAACATGTCTACTTCAAGTGGCTGAGCCTCAAGCATTGCCTACAATGGTGCTTAAGAGAGTTGGAGGCCCATAACATTTTACCTACACCTTTTTCAATTTCACCAAATCAACTTCTGAACTGCATGCACATTCACCTATACGAACACAGGAATGTGGCACTCACAGCTGTACTGTTTCTTTTGTTCTATAAGATAGCAATGAACCGAAAGTGATGAAAAATAAAATTCTCTCTTAATGATCAAATTCCCAGCACAAAATTACCATTTGTATCACCAGAACACAGTTTTCCACAATAATCTAGTATTTCCCAAAAATGATCGCAAGGCTCCTACTTATTGACGAATAACCATTTCTCTTTTACATAATATCCCTGGATTTAAATATCGAAGCATTCCAAACAAGGGTTGATATGTGGACGCTTAAAAGGTGCAAAGCTTTGCCCCTTTTAATGGTTCAGATAGAACCATGGTCATCCAAGGTCCAATAATGAATCTCTTTCTTTTTTCTTTTTTTTTTAAAAAAAAAAAAACTATTAATCTGAAATTTTGGTTTTAGGTTCATTTTGTAAATGAGATTGAATAAAATTAAGGATATTGTTTCTATGAGTCCATGGACTCATAGGTAGAAATGCAGGCCCATTAATAATTTATTTTTGAAATAGAATTTGATCCTAATTTTTAGGGAATATATAATCTTTAACATAGAGATTTAATCTATAAAAATAAATAAATTTTAAAAACTATAAATGATATTTTTTGGGGAAAACCTTTTGGATGACTATTGTTTACAGGGCCCAGTTTTGGTGGATGGTGTAGATCTCCGAGCCCGCATAGTAACAGGTGCAGACTTGGATGCACCAAATAATTTTCTTAAAATTAATACAAAAATATTGACCAAAATAAATTTCAAAGTATTTTGATAATTTTTCTATTTAAAATATTTTTTAATCATTTTTATTTACTTATATGTATAAATACACCTACACTTAAAAATTCAGATAAGTATATTATTTTGATAAAAAATAAAATACGACACTGTTTTTCGGCAGTTGGATCTGGCAATATGAGATCTCAACCATTAGAAGGGTGCTTATCCACCCATCCACATGAATCTTGTGGACGGGATACTTTTCCTTCAAACAATGAGACATACTTTGTGAACTATAAAAGGGTAGTCTATGCATCATGATACTACCCAAAAGGCTACTTTGTCAAACTGTAAAAGGACACTCCATGCATAATGATAATTCCCAAAAAGCAAAGGAAACCAGATCCGAAAATAGCCCAAGAAACCTCAAATCATCTTCCATTTTAAATAAAAATGATTAATAGAAGTAGCAGTAGTAAGTAAGTGTCTTAAAAGGAAGCAGGGTAATTACCAACTTACCATCGCCATTATCGTTTGCTTGGAGTACAATGAACACATATTTGATCAGAGTGATGAGTATAAGGGTATAAATGATGATAGCCAAGACCCCCAATATGTCATCGTTGTGCTGAATGCCACTCGCGAGTGCACTCGAATACACATACAGTGGAGATGTTCCAATGTCCCCATAAACAACGCCCATGCTTTGGAAAGCAAGATTGAAAATTGCGCCCTAACTATGAGTCTACAAAAAACAAGGTTATTTCACGTACAAGGGACTGAAAATTGTGCCCCAACTACGAGTCTACAAAAAACAAGGAATTAAGAAATGGAATAATATTTCAGGTATAAAGGACTGGAAAAAATCAATCCAGAGCATGCTCCAAGGTTATGAATGGGAAGATAATATGAAGAAGGATAATTGTTAATAATATTAATAATAATTTGACGAAAGATTTAAATGATATTTCTTAAAATAGTAGAGGGAGGCAAAGTTTGATTATTCTTACTTCACCTACCACCCCCAATATTGGAAGTACGCATTCTTTTTCTTGGAAACAAACAAATTATCATAATTGATGTTGACCAAATACCCTTGATCATGTGAAGTGGCTACGGACGAGAGGTAGAATAGGAAGAAGATCAAGGCTTGCCATGCTTTTGTGAAAACATGGGGGCTTGAGGCGAGGGTTTGTTTGTAGAGGGAGATGAAGGTGTGCTTTGTAATATAGATAAAAAAAAAATGGGTTAATTGGAATTTTTATTTTTAGATCTATGAGTTTATATTTATTTTTATCTTATTAGGGTCAATGGTTAAAAATAGGATTTTTAGGTTAATTTGATAAAGTGTATTTTTTTAAGCTAGTTTTTTTTACAAAAAAAATAATAAGAGTCAAATTTTTGAAGAAGTACAAATTTGTTTCAGTTTTTGAGAAAGCTTATGAGACGAGCATAAGTGAGATACTAAGAATAGAAGGTTAGGTTTATCAGGTGTTTGGCCTCATGGGTTGTTCATTTTCTTTCAACTCATTATCGCGGATAAGTATCAGTTTCAATTAAAGTAATCTGATAATGATTTGTGCTGAAACTTAATAAAGGCGTTAACGGAGACGCATACATTTGGGCGTGGGTGGGTGGTATCTAATGTAGTATGGCTTTACTAAATGCATTAACGGAGACATACATTGTATGTTTAGTGCTCCTCTCGTTTCCGTTGGTACACTTAATAAAGCCATACTATCTTTAGGATACCTCTCTCAATCGCTTATGCACGCTCACGTCAAATAGAGAGAGCTAGGGTACTATTTTTTACTAGTGTTATGGAAAAAGTTTATATAAAGATGCAACTTTATAATATAGAACTACAAATACACTTCAAAAATCCATCAGAAAAAGTAGTTTTAATGTTGAAAAACCTTTTGATTGATCATCTCGACATCGAGATGTATGACCATGAAAAATAAACAGATTTTAAGTCTAAAAAATAATGCATTTTACAACATATTATCTACACTGTCTATTTTCAAGATTTTCATATATTCATAGATCTACGTGATTTTAACTATTTTTTAAATTTAAAATTTTATAATTAGATATAAAAAATAGATTTTGAGATAATCCTAAAAATATTTTACATCAAAATTATATAACATGATAAAATTTGAAGGTACACCTTACCTCTACCGCTACGTATGCATCTGTATGCCAACTGCACCCTTAGTTTATTTATCGATATGTGTAAAATTGTATTTCTTAATAGGGGCGGCAATGGACCCGGACCCGATCCGGGTCCGGGGATGGAGATAAAATACTTCAAACTTTATTCGTTTGGGTGTATTAAGGAATATATGCAATAAGAACTCATGGTCATCTTTAGCTATTAAAGACAAATCAAACGGTTTGAAATCTAATAGCGAGTAATTATGACCCATCGCCAATAATATGGGTATATGATGGTAAATAAAAAAAAAAAACTAAATAAAAAAAAAAACAGCTCATAGTAAGGGTGGCACTAGGCCCGGCCAGGCCAGCAAGATATTTATAAATAGATAGCCCCAAAAGGGGCAGAAAATAATGATATGAAACAAAAGCACCATAAAACAAAGCCACTAAATATATCAACGAACAAATTTTTGAAACTTTCTAAAAGCAAATGCCAAAAAATAAAAGAAATTCTCTCTAATTCAAGTAGATAATGGAAATCAGTGAAATTGAATAAGGGAAAGGTTAATTAATGAATTGCAATAATATTTCGCCGGAAATCAAATACCATAATGAACAGCATCACCATTACAGTGGTGAACAAAGAGGCCCAACTTTAGCAGGAATTACTAGCGTACCCACCGATCAGACAATAAAAGGCCAAAAAAAAATCGCATGGCCGACCTAACCAAATATGTTACTGTGACGACCTTTTAACGGAGAAAAACAAGGTAGATAACCAAATAGACATTTGAGGAGAAGTTTAGGGTATCCTAGACATTTCAGTGCAAAAATATGTTACTGTCACGACCTTTTAATGGAGAAAAATAAGGTAGATAACCAAATAGAATAATAACCAAAACATTATTGAAACTACATTTCTCGACAGGTAGGCTCAAATTTGATTGTTTAGAGCCTAGGCTCTATGCCAACTGCACCCTTTTTTTTGTTTATAAGACTTGAGAATAATAAACAAAAGATATTCTTCCTAGTACTTGATCGGAAAACTTAATAAAACCACTTTTCTGGACAAAAAAACTCGCTGGAAAACCAAACTGACGAGAGAAATCTCGCTGGACAATCAAACGAGAATATCAGAAAAAATACAACCTTAAAGCAAAAGCGGAAGAAATCCAAGAGACGAGAAAAAAACATAAGCTAGAAAATTTATTCAGACGAGTTTAGCAAAGAAAAATCGCCGGATATTTAAACATCTTGCCAGATTTCTAGTTGATCACGCCGGAAAATAAAATTAGAAGAGAAAACATGTGCAGGATAGAGGAAGTTGCAGCGAAATGATCAAAGAAAAAGAAAAAAAAATTACTCGCTTAAAGGTATTTCTTCAACGGGAACATCAAATGAGAAGAAAGACAACAAAACGTGAAACATAAATATCAACAACCAAGAAGAAAAGAATCACTGGAAAATTCAAAAAATTGACAGATTTTCTGTTCTATATTGCCGGAGAAAACAAATAGAAGAAGAAACACGTATAATGACACCAAACTTAGCAGCCGAAATATCAAAGACCAGAAGGGAACCACTAATTTAACGGATTTTTTCATAGAGAACATCAAATGACAAGAGTGATAAGGAAAACAAACGCCACGAATAGTCCAATAATTCGCCCGAAAGTTGCCAGAAAACCGACCTGGGAGCCCCTTTTTACGCCGGAAGACTCGGCGTCAAACGAGTTGGCTCGCTGGAGTCTCCTATGAATGGGAGATTTTCCTTGAATTTCGGTTGAGGTTGGCTGCTCTTCGACTGCAATTAGAGGATCGTCCATTTTCTAAGAGAGAGAAACTGAATTTTAGAGAGAGAGTGTCAAAAAATAAGGAAGAGACCTCAACCTCTATGCCCGATATTTATAGTCTGATGACACTGGTAAATACTTTTCCTGACGGGAATAGTTCCAGTCTTTTTCGAAATGATTATGAAGTCCTTAAACTAAAAGACTGAATATCGCACGGAGTTCATACGTGCATTCTCTCACTGCTCAAGTCCTATGGACGCACAAATACATCTCGTGCAAAGGAAAAGAGTTTATGATGTTCAATTTCTTTTTATTTTTATTTTTATTTTTTATTTTTTATAATGAGTGTTCCCGTGAAAGCTTATCCGAGCCGAGGCTCTAAACAATCAAAATAGAGCACACCTTTAAACATCAGTGTTCCTGTGCAAGTTTCTCTAAATGGTGGGGTTGGTATAAGAAACATCCTTACATAATGTCCGAAGAGGATGTTTTGGTGTCGGAAATTTTTGTGATGGTTATAAAATATATTTGTACTCTAATTAGTTGATTTAAAACTTTTCAAAATAATGTAGATCAAGCAAACTTATAAAAACTTAAAAATAGATTGTCTAGATAATGCCAATATTGCTATATTTTGAAAATAAAATGGGATTTTTTTCATAATTCCATGATAAAGTCTCAAGATTTTTTATAGACAACTATCTCTATATTGATGTCAACAAGGAATATACAAGTCCAGTGTAAATATACAACAAGCCATAACAATAATAAAAGGGATTGTATACAATGAGACTATTTACACAAAGTAGTCACAATTTCTTACAACTATTTGATGTAAAATTTGATAGCTTGGATGTGTCACAAAGTTTGAGAAAATTTCTTTTGAAGTTTGAGCTTAATCAATAGAATAGTTGCGGCGACGCAGTTTCACATCCAATGTTCAAGATTGATGTGACCACCTTGTATCAAAGGTAAATAGTCTCATTCTATACTTTCCCATAATAAAAAACTATCAATGACACCTACGTAATGCCCAATCTTACCATAAACATATTATACTCACACAATATACACTTTCTATAACATTCCTCAAGTATTTTAAAGCATTTGGCTACAAAGTTCCATTCACTATAATGAGTAAGAAATCAGAAAAATATCTACATAGAGAGATAAATTGTAATAAACATAGAGAAAATTTTTATATAAAATATCAACCTTATATTATAAGAAAGTAAGGTATATCTCAATAACCTATTACGGAAAACGTTGTTTGGCTGTTAGAAAGCTCTCTCATTGGTCATCTTAACTTCATGGTTATGCTACTGCATGTGGATGATGTTACACATCATATGGACGATGTATTACCCTTTTTAATGACCAAAAATACATTTATTAAAAAATATTATATTACAAAACAATGGTATATATCCCATATATATATATATATATATATATATATAAGGTGCTGTTTGCATAGAGCTTAGGTCTAAACAATCAAATTAGAGCCTACCTTCAAATAGTATTTAGAAATATGGTTTTAATATTGAAAATCTTTGTAATAGCCTTAAAATAT